CGGCCCCCGCGGGGAGCGCCGCGGCTTCCCGGCAAGCGGGGTTTTGCAATAATTCATGCTTCCGATGCCGAGGCGGCGGGTGGGGCAACTGTGTCCGTGGGTGCAGCTCCCCGGCTTTCCCCGGGGAGTGACAAACTGGTTTTGGCGGACGGGGACTTGTAGGGGTTGGAAGTTTGGCAGATAAAATCATTTACGCCTGTATTAAAATACTGCTTTTCCCCCTAGGGGAGCTGGGTAAATAAAGCCTTTGCCCTACAAAGTCAGTCTTCAGTGTATAGGATAATTCCCTTTCTGAGCCGTGGCTAGATGATACCGTGAAGCTTTAAAACCCAAAGGGGTGTCACACTTGCCGTCCTCGACCAGGTGTCAGATAAAACCCACGTGCTGTCTCCTGAAGGCGATCGAGTCCCAGCCGATGGGCCCAGACGATTACCGCTGACTCCTCAAATGTGTCAGATTCGCCCTGACCAGGCACCCCCAGCTGGAAGGGGCCATCAGGGCTCGCTGTGAGGAGCGTGATTTGAAAAGGTGCTTTTTCAGGCTCCGGGATAGCGGGGTGATGCTGTCTGGCTGTGCTGGCCGCAGGCTGTACGGATGTATGAGATGCTTAGGCGGGGTTTCTTTCTGGCTCTTTCAGTTCCAATGCCGCTTAAGCTCTTGTTTTGCTGCTGGTCTGTGTTTCTGTCTTAGTAGACGCAGTATTTACAAGGTGGGAGCGTAAAGCTTTTGGCGTGTTGCGTGGGAGACGAGGTTTAGATCCACCAGGTTTGATAGTAGGTGTCTGATTAAAGCTGTGATTTAAGGATGAATGAAAATTGAAATGCAAGGCGTTTGGCTGTAATTCAGACTTTTTGGGATCCCGAAGTTTCTTCGTTGCTCCACAGCAGCTATTCCACAGGTGCATTTTTCAGAAAAGGGAAATCTGTTGCATTATTTTTGAAACCTTTTTTGCAGCGTGTCTTTCGTGAAGGACCACGCGCATTGTCTGCTCTGCATTTTCTGTTGGCAGCAAGGGCCGTTGCTGGTGCGATGTAAAAAATAATCCGGTAGCAGAAAAAGGGCCCTTCTGAAATGTTTCTCTGAGTGTCCCTAGAGGACAAAGCCTCTTTCAAGCAGCCTGAGGATTTTATTTACTCTTTGCAGTTGCTTGCTCTGGATTTTCAATGCTCTGCCTTTGTTTATAACCAAGTGTTTCCATTTGTCGGCTCTGCCGGGGAGATGGTTTGCTCTGGGAGGGAGAGAGGGTGGCAGGCGTGGTGGGGGCTGTGGGAAGGGGAAGGATGGGGGCTGACGGCGTTTGCTCTCGGGAAGGCTGGCGCTGGGCAGCGTGCTCCCGGCGTTTGGGCCGAACGCATGCTGTATTGTGTGAGGTAGGGCGCGTGGGTTTCTCTCTCGAAATTTTCTTTTATGCTGGCTTAGCGAAGCAGATCTCGTCATCCGTAAATGTCAGCTGTCTGGTTCTTTTTTCAGCTGTGTTAGTCGTACTGACTTTTTTTTTTTCTTTTTTAAATTGATGTAGATGGAAGTCAAGTTTGGCTGTGGAGTATCAGCTTGCTTAAATTTTGGGTGATTTGTGTTCTTTTGCTGCTTTTGGGGGCTTTGACGTACGGGGTGCTGAGGCCATTCAGGTTTCTCCCTGCTGTTGCTGTTCCTCCGGTGCATTTATGAGCGATGAACGCTCGGATTCGAGTCCCCAGGATTGCTTAAAACCACCAGGAACTAAATATCAGCCTTATCCAAAAGCAGAAAGGAAATGAAAGCATCGCTGGGAGTGCCGGAGGGGATGTTTGCTACAGGCCCTGTCGCTGCTGCAGCTTCCCATGTCACCCAGTGCTTTTTTTGAAACTAGTTGTCACTGTAACTTTTTCAGGCAACTGTTTTGCTGGCGAAGAGGCTGTAATGTAATTTTTTCTCACCTGGCTGAAACAACATCCAGCGTTTTAAACAGAAGGTGCTGTTGTTGAGTAGGCACTTTATTTAAGAATAAGTATTGTAAATATAGGGTTAAACCCACTACTTAGAAATAAATGCTTTTCCTTTCTTTTGGGAAAGCAACTTCTGTGCATGGAAAAGCCCCAGAGAAAGTTCCTGGTATTTGCCGGTGGATACTCATTTAATGTGAGTCAAGACCAGTTAATTTTTCCTGCGGACACGATGTGAATTGCCAAATTGGGAGCTGTTGTGAAGGATGTAAGCAGTACAAATATTTGTGGGCTACCAACGTAAAAGTTGCATTTCCACCCCTGGTCACAGGAAGGGAGAGCACAGTCCTGGAGAAGAGGCACGAGTGAGATAATTGCTAAGTTAGCACATCTGCTTGGCGTAAATAATGGTTGCTATTGGTTTGACCATAGTAAAGTTTTAAAAGATTTTTATTAAATGCTTAAAAAAATAGCAGGTAATAAAAGCATGAATCCTGCTTGTAAGGAACGAGGATTTTAATTGTGTACTTAGGTGGGCTTCCCACCCCCCCCCAATAGCTTTTTATGCTTCAAAATCTGTCTAAAACTTGGAACGCGTGTGTGTGTCTACTATGCAATAGGTCGATCTGAGTTTTTTATTTGTTAGCTGATGCTTTTCCCCTGGTGCTGCTGAAGGCAGCGTGAGCCTTCCCGCCTCCCTGTGGCACGTGCCCTCTGCATGCCACAGTTTGCAGAACTGTTAATTTAGGATTGCTTGAGGGAGCTTTATTACAGGGGTATTTTGTAGTCCTCTTCTTGGGGAGTGTCATAATTTTCACGTCCGGTATCCTGAAGCCTTCCAGAGCAGGCGGCTTGGTGCACTTGCAGAAGAGAGCAGAGGAGTGGTGAGAAGCTCCCTGTTTATCCCCTGTGGGTCACGAGATAGCTTTAATCCTGTAATTTTTCTGGGATATGATATCGGCCACCGTGGTCCTTGGGGCAGTAAAAGCTGTAACGGGTAGGAATTTGGCAGGGAGGGGGCAATTTTGGTTTTTCTTTGGATCAGGCTCGTTTTGGAAAATGAAAGGCAGGACTGAATTTGCTTGTGCACTTAAAAAGCTAGAAGGAGTCTTGGCGGGTGCGTGAGCAAAATGCAGATGGAAGGGGATGAAGATACTTACATATATAAATATCTCTGTATGTGTCTACATATCTTAAGCTCTTAAAGTGGGAATGTGTCTTGTATTTCTGCTCACAGGCACCTTTGAATCTTTAAAGACCACCTTAAATTGAATGTTTTGATGAGAAAACTATGGCTAAGAAAGATATTTCAGTAAATGTTCTAGTCTTGAAACAATACAGTTCTGAAATTCAGATAATCCCCATCAAGCTTTAATCCCTGTGTTTTGTGCCCGGTGTTTGTTTTTTTTTTTAAAAAAATTGTAAACAAACACTCTACCAGGCAAATGTTGAGCTTGTTGATGGTGCTTTAGTGTTTGCACGATAGTCGGTCTTTAAGTTGCGTTATCTGCTGCTTTCCGAGCAGGGTGGTCTGGACACAAAGGCATCAAGTTTTTAGTTTTGGGTTTTTTTCTAAATTAAAAAAAAATATTTTTTTATTTTTTAAAAATAATAATACTACTAGAACTCCTGAGTCACAAATACATGTACAGTCACCAATTTTATATTCTGTAATTGTTTTGTATGGTTCCGAGACTCTTTCCTCGATTGTTATGTCTGTGTTTAAAAATTTCAAACTTGTTTATGTTGTCTTCTGCTTCAAAAGGAATTTATACTTTATTACTCAATAATTGAATTTTTTAAAGAATAAAGCTAATGCTACAAATTGACCATTTAGTAATAAAAAACCTAATTACAGTTTTACAGTACAAGCATGTAAATGTTAAATTTGGATACCTGTTATTTGTCCACCACATTTTCTCTTCTGCCTTCCATAATCAGTATAGTTTCTGAATTTGTCAGAGGGAGAGTTACTCTGAATTTGGTTGTGTAAAATTTTAAGTTGCTTTTTAAATAGGTTCGGTATATTTATTTTTATGGGGGAACCCTTCTGAGATTTTTCTTTTTTAAATGACAACTTGGTGGCATTCCTCACATAGCGTCCTTTGGTTTTTTTATTCTTACCTGTAGAAAATGAAGAATTTCCAGGAAGTTGTTATTTATTTTAAGATACCCCATAATTAAAAAAATATTTCAACTGTTGGGCTCACGATCTTGCAACTAAGTATGTCGTGTGTCCGTCTAGACCTTTGTCCAGGATATACCATGTGAGATCAAAAAGCTTCTTATATTTAAGAAACGTGCTGTCCTCGCTGTTGGTGTGCAGGGCGCAGACTCGGGGTTACTGCCGAAATGTCGGGTCAGAAAAGGGGAATGCTGTTTATCAGATTGCCAAAATGATTGATTTGAATCTGGGCTCTTCCCTGAGGATGTGCCTGGCTGTTGGAGTTGGCAGTAAAGTTTTTCCACTGCAGTTTTCATGATTAAGTGTTGTGGGCTATTTTTTTTTTTTTCCCAAATTCAGCATAATTCAAAGCAACTTGCAGCACACCATAGGTTTAATACCAAATGATTTTGACTTAGCCGTAATTATTTTGATTGAAATATCTTTACCTTGTTAAATGAAATGCATCACTTCTTCCTTTGCTTGTCAGCTTTATCTGGTAGTGCTCAAGAAAGTGGTGTAATTTCAAACTTGCAGGTTTTGGGTCAGTTGTTTTTTTTTAATCCAGTGCATTTCCCCTGATGGCAGGAGGAATGGAGGTATAGGATACACCTGGCCATGTTTACTGAGCCTAAATACAATAGGAGCTGATAAGAAGGGACATATAAGCTGTTGATTGCAGACTGATTTAGAAATTGTGTTGTGTTAGGGGCATATGTACATATATATATATATATATACACACACACACACAGACAGGGAAGGATGGACAGACATGCAAAGGAGCAATATTAATGCCATGGCATTTGCTAGTGTATGTAATATATGTGATCTCAGATGAGTAATAAATTATGTTTCAACAAGTGATGCATGTTTCAATTAGTTTAACTTCCAGAATGTTAAAACATTATTAAATATATTTTTGAAATGAACAAATCTCAGGGTTTTTTTCTAACTTTTTTTTTTTCCTGCTTTAGTCTTTAAGGTATTTTTTGTTTATCCATACTTCTTCTTTGAGTGTTTAATTGTTTATAATTAATTCTGAAGTAAGTAGTCACAGGTTCATGTGTACTCAGAAAATGTCATCTCTGTGTTTACTGGGAGAAAGGGTAACATCTGTGCTCTTCTCTTTTTCTGTTTCAGGTCATCGGAGCCCTTGTCCTCGCCGTTGGGATTTATGCAGAAATCGAAAGACAGAAGTACAAAACTCTAGAAAGTGCCTTTCTAGCCCCAGCAATTATTTTAATACTTTTGGGCACTATAATGTTCTTCGTATCTTTTGTGGGTGTACTGGCTTCTTTAAGAGACAATTTATGCCTTCTTCAAGCAGTAAGTGTTGGGGTTTTTTAATTCTTAATTTTTAGAGCTCATTGATTTTGCTTTTCAGTGTCACCTGAGTTCAAACCCATAACTCTTTCTATGTCTGCACTGAAAAATATTTTAATAAAGTTGCTTTTTTGATTTTGATTAAATCTAGAACTGCTTTATGGCAGTGGTCCCCTAACCATGGTCTGTGGATGTCCCTCCATCAGGGAGCAGCAGTATTTCATCTTGCCGGTGACAGGACAGGCGAGGGTCAGAGGCCGGCGCTGAGAAAAACAGCTCTCCAGTAGTTAAGGGCTTTATGGAAAACAACCAGGAATGTGAATTATTATCAGCCGGCGTGGATCTTGTGCAAACTCAGCTGTTGACATACCATTTGACGCTAGCCCGGCACCACGGTGCCAGCTCTTTCTCTGCTCTGGCCATACCATAGGCATGTGCCCTGCTTAGGGGGACTGTGGGGGAGAAGAGGAAATAGTGCTGTCCCCGGGCCGAGGGAAGAGGCAGAGTCTGGCTGCAGCTTCCCCCGTCGGTACCGGGGGATTTCCTAAAGCTGTGAACCTTCTTGCTGGGACTTCAAGAGCAGACGCGAGCTGCGGTCTCTGGTGGTTCCTCCAAACGCTTCTCCTTTCAACCTGGAGGAAGCTGCTAAAGAAAGAAACCCCAGGTCAGGCTGGCAGTGGCTGGGGTCTGTCTGCCTTTGGCCGGGGAGTGGAGTATGGGGGGGAGATGGAGAGATGTGTGTTACGATGTTAGCTGTATAGCACCGCGGGGCTTTGAGAGAAGGACCCTAAGGGGGAAATGAAAGGGACACAGGTTTTCTCTCCAGTGCCTCTGAAAGGGGAAATTTTAGGGAAATTCCTGTACAACGCTGTGGTTGCAGATTGAAGTTGCACATACGACTAATTAAAAGTAAAGCGTGAAAACATAATTTTCACCTTCACGTCAGTTCAATGTAAAGAAACGGCAAATATGTGGTATGTTATGTAGGCCAAATCAAGAGATAACTGGATTTTGAAATTAGGCTGGAATTTTACTGAGAGTCTGTCCTTAGGCAGTGGTGGCTTCTTTCACTCTGAGCGTGGTGGTGCGTCCTCGTCTGATGCCAAGGACATTTTCCGTTCCCGTTGTGGTAACAAACCCAGCAGGGTTTAAATTTAAATGAAGAAAGTCCCTGATGTCTGCTTGTCAGGCTGATTTCAGACTTAGAAGGAGAAAAGGTATCTGTCCGGTGAGTTTGTGAGACTGATACTGTGTATTGAGAGCACAGAAATTAAACCAGCTTTTGGGGCAGAGCGTTAGAGATTATTTTCAGATGAGAGATCCTGAAACTTCTTTCCTGACAAAGTTCACCGTTAAAGAAGCAGACCTAAATTCACGTAACAGCCATCTTTTACACCTAAACAATCCTTTGGGTTGGAAAAACATTTCATGTACTGGCACACTGCAGCTTTTTCATGGTGTTGCTATGGATTTCTTCGTATTATTCATATTTTGCATATGCTTTGATAAGTAGTCACAGATGCATATGTTGTGGTCATGTGTGAGTGAGCGCATATATATATATATATATATATATATATATACACAGATGAATAAATAAATTGAGAGCTAGCAGGTATAATTTTTCTTACCACTCAGCCTAGTAAGTCCTGTTAGCGCCCATCGTGCCGCCTCTGCGCTCTGCTGGCTCGGTAATGCAGTACTGCTCAGTTCCCTCTTCTGAAGCAACATGCTAAAAGGTACCAAGCCCAGAATTTTGCTTTGATTTAACACTGGTGGTTTAGTAGAAGGTGGTTTGGATTATCTTAAAGCACTGCTTTACCCAAGAAATGAGAGCTAACAGGTAAGTACTGTTTTTGTAGGAAGCATAAAATCATAAAGTTTGGTGTGGTTTGTAGCAGTCCATTAATATCCTTCTCTGGGATGCTGTTATGGAGAGAAGTATCTTGGCATGATAAATGCATCTATTGGTTTTGAGTCCATTCAAAGCAGAAAAATAATGTGTTTGCCAATTGGGCAAAACCCAGAATGACTCAAGTGAGAAAAAAGGCTTTCTTGTGACATGAACGGTTTTATAGGAACAAAACCAAAATTTTATATCTTTCTTTAAAATGACATCTCATATGCAGAAAGCCAAGTATGTTGGCAATTGAATGTTACGGACCTAAGGACATTAATTGAAAGAGTAACTGGGGTTTGTTCTGTTTAAGGACTCACTTGCAATTGTTTTTCTGCAGTTCATGTACATTCTTGGTGTCTGCTTGCTGATTGAGCTGACTGGTGGAGTGGTGGCCCTGATCTTCAGAAACCAGGTGAGCCGCTTGTGTTTAGGTTTTGATCACCAAGAACATCACTCACAATCAATGACGTTACAGCTATGCTACCGAGCAAAAACAAGGTGTTAAGATTGTCGCCTGAGCACTAATTGATGGAGGTCTGAAGGCAAGTCCAGACTTTTCAGGGCCTTTCAGGTTTGGGGATGGATGGGATTGGCCACCCATTCTGGAGATTAATTCCAGATTAAAGAATTTAGAGAAAATCTGGTAACTAAGAATGTGCAATATAGGCAAAACAAGTTTCCAGCTCTTCACGTATTACGAACTGCTTGCTTCTCATTTGCCATCTGGGTCTCAGACTGCTGATTTGGGAGGTTTCCAGCTGGATATTTTTTAGTGGCCAAAATGTTTTACCATATATAAGGGACAGTTCTTACCTGCCCACATCCATAAGCAACATAACTAATTTCTATAGGAGACCCCATCATTTACAAGCATGCTATAATAGTATATTTTTTTCTAAATAATATGTTTTTTTCTAAATAATATATTTTTTTCTAAACAGAAAGCAGCAGACTTTTTTTCTCGTGCTAAGAATGTTTTAAAACATAAATGTGTTCACCATGGCAAGTACTAGATTTCTGTGCTGTGATTTTTTTTTTTTTTCCCAAATCTGGCAAAATATGAGCATTAAAAGGAGATGCTGAATAATAAGACCTCTTCCCTCCCAACCCCAATCCTACCGATTTCATTTCCACAAAACAAAGTCCTATGTACTGCGTTACACATGTTATTTAAAGAAAAAAAAGCTTTAGAAAAGATTTTTTTTTTTTTAATAACAACTCATTGTTATTTTGAAGTAGTAGTATGTTCTCCCTAGCCAGTGTTTTCTTCTTAATCCATGCTGGACTGGAGTCATGAACTTGACTTGTGAGAGCAGAGGATGAGTTATCCTCATTTCTAGAAGTCGTCGTTAGCCGTTGCCATAGGTGTTGCCTTGGCCCTGAGCAAGGATTTATTCTGAATTGTGGTGGGAGCGCCAGGCTCATCCGAAGGGAAAAGATCAGCCTGGCCGGTGTAGGAGTGTGGGCATCACGGGATGCAGAGAATTTGGTTGGCATAAAATTAAGTAAATGCCAAAGATGGTATTTGCTGAGAGGGCGAGGAAGAATTGCTGTTGACTTTCAGACAAAGAAAATGTAGTGTTGGGTTTTTGTGCAGTAAGTGTTTTCCCGACATGGGTATTGCGTGTCTGAGCAGGACAGCTACGCTCAGGGACGGGTTTCTTTGCTTGTTTTATGAGGTTAATGGAGAAGTTGGGGTTAGTATGGGGAGGAGAAGGAATTATTTAATAAAAGCTTAGGATAACAGCCTCTATTTAAATGCTGCCTGGTTTGCACGTCTCAATCTTTCTCTGTTTCCTTCTCAAACCTGTCGAGTCTAACACAGGTGATATAGGCAGCGCGAGAGTAGTCGGTAATTGCTGCTGTTCGTTCTTGGCCAGTTAGGATAGTCCTGCAAAATCCCTTCTTATTTCTAATCATCAGTGTGATAATCGGTTTTGTTCTGTTTTGTTTTTAAGTGTTGCAGTTTGTAATACTGAGAAAATAAGTAGGGGTATTTCAGGTTTCTTTCTGACCTGCAAGGATTTAGCTTTGATCATTTTAGCAGCTGGATTGAAAGTTGTTACCTTCTGGTTATATTTAGTCTCAATTTTTGCTGTGCTATGATGGTGCTGGATGTTGAAAACTAAATACTCTCCTCCGCCCCTCCCCCCGCCCCCATCTTCTGAACTTTAAAAGTGTTTTGTTGATTTGATTTCTAAGATGCCAAGCTGAGGAGATAGCGTTTTATATCTGCCACCGCTCCACTGCCATATTTCTCAAAACCATGACTATAAAACATACAGATACCAGTTTTTTTCCACTTTTTTCTACTTAAGGTAGAATAAAGCTCATTATCTGGCAACTATGGATTCCTGGGAAAATAAAATGGTGAAAATAAAATTAATGGAAAATAAAATTCATGGAAGATGGTGAGCAGGGAGACAATTGGCTCTTGTAGCTCAGGGAGTGGTGCAGACCACGGTGCCAAGACCCACCACCCAAACCTGCTGTTCTGTCACCCAAAAGATGCCGGGGATCCCCAAAGCCCAGTGAGAGGGATCCTGCCTTCCCCTTCCCAGCCTGGGGGACAAGAGGACCATCTCTGGGAGATGCTTGGAGAGTCTCAGCACAAAACCAGCAGCAAGGCTGCTTTCTTAAAAGAGGGTGGATGGTCAGTCCCTGCAGGACTGTGCTATAATTGATTTTTAACTGGCATTTGTTTTTTCTTAAAAAAAAAAGCCTTTCCTCTTGTGTTCGTCAATTACACTTGTCACTTTAACCTGTTCTTTTAAGTTTGTTTCAGCGTGTGTAACCCGTGAATCTTGTTTTACTTCTGCCTTCTAGACAATCAGCTTTTTGAACAATAATATAAGAAGAGGAATTGAGAATTATTACGATGATTTAGACTTCAAGAACATCATGGATTCTGTTCAAAAGCAGGTTTGTTGTTGTGGGTTTTTTTTGTTTTTTTTTTTTCCTGGGACTAATGCAGTGTTGAGATGTGGTAGCTCCTGGGTCGCAGCTTTGAGTATTTTCAGTGATGTGATAATCAAATTCTTATTGATGAGGGGGATGAGATCTCATGCGTCATCTGTTACGGCGTTGCTGCGGGCAGGGCTCCTCCAGCATCCCAGCTGGCATTTGAAGCCTCCTAAAACACTGCAAGAAGCAGGGACAAAATACAGCTTTTGCCTTGGTAGGTGTGATTCAGATGCTCAAGACCAGATCCTGCAAACATTTAGGCTGATATAGGCCCCACAGCCAGATTCAGACAAATTCAGCCTAAATTGCACCCAAGTTCTTACACTAAGCATTTCTGCTGGCTGGTCCAAGCCATTTAAAAGCATCTCGTTAACAGGAGGCAGCGGATAAAGGGAAATTAGGTGGCAATTAGGCTGTTGGAACCTGGGCCGTTGTATTTTCACTCGAGGGCACATACCAAGCTCTTTAACAAGGTGGTTATTCAAAGGAAATGCCCGTGGAAGTGTATATACCTGTAATTAAAATTCAGAAATTGTGTTGAGCCCAGTTGAGGATTACTTAATGGCACGTGTCGTTGACTCACAGCCTCTTTTTTTTTTTCAGGCTGGTGTGTTGAAATGTTTATTGGATTATTGAAGAGTTTTGCCATGCAGTTCAGAGACTATAGAAGAAGCAGAAAATGTTCAGAAATGTGATGTCAGGGCCCATGTGGTGTCAGTGACTGTGCCAAATAATGATTAAAAAAAAAAAAAAACCAAAAAACTTAGGAAGCGATATGTATGTTTTATGACATCGTTATGGAGATGGCAGCCTGCTTTGAAAAACAGAGTTAGCATGGAAAGTCTGTCAAAAGCCAACCATCCTGAGGAAATTTTGTCATTAGACTTCATAATGTTTTAAAGTTTCCATGCACTGCCCAAAATTATGTGTATGTACAGCGAATATACATTTTAGTGATAAAATAAACTGGTCCTTTCCCCTTTGTTTAAAATGTAAAATGAATATTTGTATTAAGTCAGTGTAAACTTACAGTATTTGTCTGCCAGATCTCAGCTCTACTAAATTGCACCCAAAATGTTTTGGTGAGATTTTTTGTAATGCCTTATAGCAATACTTTTGTCTTTTAGACTCATTCAGAAATGTAGTCAAAATCCTTAAATAATCGAAGCAGTACATTGCAGCTCAAGATGGAGTGAATGTAAAAACATTGCTTAATGATGTCCAGACCTGAAAAGATAGTTTTTCAGCTCAGAGAAGTTAGGAGGTGGAGCTCTAGCAGTAAGTACTTTGCTCTGGCACCTCAGGCAATAGCGCAATGAGTGACAGAGGAATGCTACCTATATCTTTAATTCTTTTCAGTTGTATCTATCATATACATTTCTATATGCCTTGCTGATAAAAGGACAGAATTGCTGGGTAGCTCAGTGGTCTTAAAATTGCTTTATTATTACTTTGTTTTCTAGTTACTAGAAGAGTTTCTTTTATGATACAATTTTTTTTTCCTTTGCCTTTTGTGTCATTTTTTCCAGTTTAAGTGCTGCGGTGGGGAAGATTATAAAGATTGGTCACAAAATGCCTACCACAGCTGTGCGGCACCAGGACCACTGGCCTGCGGGGTGCCCTACACTTGCTGCGTCACAAATAAGGTAAAGTCCAAGTCCTGGCTTCTCGGCATCACTGCTCTCTGCCGGGTCACCGGCATTGCTTAAGAAGTTACCTTACTTTAGAAAGTCTGGGGGAAAAAGCAGAAGTAAATGGGTCCCTCCTGAAAACAGGAGCTATGGATCCGTGGGTCTTGATAGCTCGAAAAGGAGAAAATAATTAATTGGATGTGTGGGCTCTGGTCTGTGTTACTGTCCCACTACGCAGTCCTAGAAACGCAGAAGGGATCTTGGGAGCTCCTCTAACCTCATGGCTCGCCTGGACCGGGGTGCTTAGAATTAAGTCTTGCTGATTTCCCCGGGGTTTGCTGCTCCAGCTTTGCCAGGAAGCCTGGGCCCCGATTGCTTCCGTGGGTGGGGGTTGGAGTGATGTGCACCAGCTGCTGCGTGAATTAAAAACCAAACAGAACGACCCCATCATCCAGAAAAAGCCAGAAATGTGGGCAAATGGCCTCAGGGTCAGTGCATCCTTGTGGGTGCAGGTCTAGACTGGAGCTGCTCCTCTGCCCTAACTCATCCTTGAAAACGTCCCGCCTTGTAAAATCCTCCCTGGAAGGACACCCTGTCAGCTGGAGTCTGGACCAGTTTCTCAGTCTATGATATTGGTATTAACTGGTGCTGGCAGCAGTAGGAGCAGACGTTAAGTTCCATATAAAGGGACCTTGTGTTTTATATAAATTTTAGCAGTTTTAATTCATCGCTCTTCATTTGAGGGATGGTGTAATGCTGAATTTGATAAAGAACTGTTCCTCAACTTAAAACCAGTGTGGGCAATCCCTGCCTTACTGGGTTTTGGTCTTTGGTCTGAACACGAGACAGAGAAATTGAGTATGTGTAAGAGCAGACACAGTAGACATTATGGTGGATAGCCATAACCGGTGCCTGTTATGTGCTGCCCTTTCAAGGTCTGCCTTATGGATGGGTGTTTAATTATAAAAAAAGGAAAAAAATGCAATTGCTGAGAAATGTGTAGAATATGAAGGTGTTTATTACGTATGCTTACACATTTTTTGTGTATGAGAAGGAGTCTGTTGAAAGCTGCGCTGAGCTTTGATTTATTCTCAGAAACCAAAGCTAAACAGTTATGTTTTAAGTCTTAGGTGTTTGAGAATAAGAAAGTCGTGTATATGAAAATAATATCTGCTGATCCACAGCAGCACGGAGCAGAAGAGCTCAGGATTTTGCCCTCAGTTGATGGCAAAGGAAGATAGAGCTGGCTAGTAAGGAGCAATCTGGCTTTTCATGGGTCATTCAAAATACTGCTTGTTTTTCTGTATCTCTCATTTCTCTGTTGAAGTCTTGCTTTAAAAGGTTCATCCATGTGTGTGGAAATACAGCAGTACTGTGAAGGCGAAGCACTGCAATAACCAGTGACTAATAATGCGATGTGCCTTTTCAGCCATGGCACAAATAATCAAACACGTTGAGGATTTCAAATACAACCTGTCAGGCAGGAAAGCGCTAAAATAAGAACTTCTCTGAGGAAAACAGGGAGTATATTCTCCATATGCTTCACTGGCAACTGGGGAGGTGGGGATGAAACTACTTGCAGCCTAAAGGTAGCCTGCGAAGTGTTAAGCTCAGTGAAGTTAATTGAAAGGGGGGCAGAAGCCCCAAAACAACAAGCAAACTTCTTATTTAAGGGTAGGCTGTTCAGCAAGACACTGCGGTACGTTAGGGCTTGTGGCTTTGCCGCACCAGGATGCCATTGATGTTCCTTGTGAAGTCCAAGTGGCACGGACACGTATGGGGCAGGATGACACTAACACCATGGCTGTATGGCTGACTTCCTTGAGGAAAAAAAGAAAACCCAACCAGAGGATGCATAAATCTTCTATGTTTGACAAGTGCTTCCAAATACAGGCTGGTTTCTGTCCTGGAAAACTGCAGATATGGTTTGTGATTACTCATTCACTTTGTAGTCATGGAAAACTCGTGTTAATGTCGGAGGTTGGATTCTGATCCTCTTAAAAAGCTTTGTGCTGAGACGAGCCAGGCTCATACTGGGGGGGCTCTGAAGGGACTATTTTCAAGTCAAAGTATTTATTAAAGACTTACACTAGCATAGCAGATAAAAATTAGTCCCCAAATGCCTATAAACCTCTGTTTATAATGCATTTATCTCCATTGTTTACATTTTCTTGTGCCGTGATGTCCTGTTAGCAAATGCTGTGTTTAAAATTAAAGGACGTGACTGTGTTCTTGTTGTCACGTATTTTGTGAATGTCCACGTGTTTGTCTGTTAGGCTGAAGCGTTTTGTAAATCACTCACAGCAGACACAGCAACATGCTGATGCCTAGTATTGCAAGCCTTGACTTCCAAGAGTATTTATTACCTGTGGTTGACAGATGGGTGGTACTCACATTTTTGCAACAGACCTGTGAAATAGTCAGAGCTTTTTTTTTAGGAATGCGCTGAACCTTGTTGTCAGACAGTTGCGTGTTCAAGATGAGAGCCTGGCTTTTTGGGATCTTCAAAAACTTGACCCTGGCTGGTGTTTCTGCCATTGTGTAACATCCAGCTTCCTTCCATCTTTTGCAAACATCCCTCTTCCTTCTTGGGGAGGTGACCTGGGAACCCCAGCCTACCACTCAGAGGCCCCCAGCATTTAGAAATCTCATCTCTACATCTTGTCTTAATTTTGAGGGAGGGCTTATCAATACAGTAGAGTTTGCTGTGCCTTGTTTCCCTCATGTGAGTATTCTCATTTTCCTCCGTGTCTTTGGCTTTTTACATTGCTTCCTTCGAGGCCGGTGGGCTTTACATTGGCTGATTTGTAAGTGAAGAACCTTATTTTTGTGTTAGCTTTCCCAGGCCAGGTAGACCTTCAGGACGCAAGCAAAATATGAAATGGCTACAGAAAATGCATTAGTAATCTGTGATGAATGCAAGGACTCAGTCTTTTTTTAAATATATGAATTTTATATTCATATGTAAAATGATATGTAAAAAATACTGTATTATAATAAATTTGATCTTGTAAAATGTTCATGTAAGCATTCCCAGGATTGGACGTTATTTGGGGTTTAGATATTTCAGAGGTTGAATTTGTCACCATGATGGCCATGTTAACCCCTGGTTTTCTTAATAAGATGTGTTACGTTATTAAGGCCTTAAAATTAAAGCCAGCTGTTTGTTCTGTGGAAACAGCTGTGCCTTACAGCTCTGTCGTAGCTAGCTTTAGTTTCTGATGCCATGCTGGTTTTGCTGGATAGATGTGGTTCAAATGTCTTGTGTCGTGACACACTGGCAATACTGATTTCTCTAAAACTGTGTAGACCTCTATCTAAATCTGACCCTGGGGCTGCTGGAAGAAACCGGTGTTGGACTGGGAAGTAACGCTGTTGTTGCTTTATATGAGCTGGGAGAACACAGGAAGAGTAAAAAATAATTTTTTTGTGATTTTTGTTTTCTGCTACAGTTTGTTTGTTGTTTTCCTTTCAGACAGACATTATCAACACTATGTGCGGATACAAAACCATTGCCAAAGAGGTAACGTAACCAGTGTCCAGCCTGCAAAGGGTGGTGCTTCTCTGCATTTTTTTGGTCAGTTATAAAATTGTCTTCTGCATACTTAAATCTACCAGACAGTTAAGTCAGCAATTAAAATTATTTTATCTGGAATAACTTTTGTATATTAAAAAAACTAATCTTGTTTGATTGTGGCATCTTCCCTTCCCTTTGTATCTTCCATGATTCCTTGTTTGACATGCATGAAGCATGTCTTCCCAAAGCTCATCCCCCTTATGCTAGTTGCACAATTAATGCAAAGAAAACTGCTTTCCCACTTTTAAGTAGTGACTTGAGTTGGGGAAAGCTTTTAATACTTAAAAGCCAAAGTTTCTCACTGAGTAAAATCAGGTTTGGTAGAGCCAATTTAGGTGTTTCGAAGTATTTTATGTCCCAGTAGGGGCATTTTATTTTTTAAGCCTGTAATAGTTATTCCTGGAAGAGGAGTGGGACTTCCCAGGTTGTGTTGGCAGCCCTCTCGTCCCTCCAGGAGCCGGATGGGGCCTCCTCCTTCTTCAGTCTTCCCTCTTGGGAATAGCCCCAGTAACTCCAGAGTAGAGACTGCCGGCTCAAGGCACTAATTGCGGAGTGATTAAGAAGGGAAATCAGTAATTGGATCTGCCGCGAGTTCTTCACTCCTAGCTTTGGAGTGCTGGTGCAGGGGGTTGGTCTGAAAAAGTGCCTTCCCCAGCTCATTTGTGGCACTTGGCGCACAATGCCAGCTTCAGTTGTTGGTTTTTGGGATTACTGGTTATCTTTACATATGACCTGTCTTCATTTAGATTCTTTGATTTATGGCTTAATCACCTAAACGCTCCAGCCTGGCTCTAATGCCCAAAGCACTTAAGCATATGCTTAACTTTACCCCATTCATCTGCTTAGGACCCTTTGCAGCCTCAAGTGCTTTCTGTATTATGGGTTGGGGTCACGGTGCAGTGCAGCTTGCAGGACTGAATCTGAAATCCTCTTGTTCCTGCACTTTTTAGAGTCTATTGCAAAGCACTTGGTCTGCAATTTATATTTTTCTGCTGCTGTACTTTCAACTTGGAAGCAGAGATAAAAGCTAGAGAGAGATGACTTCTTTTTCCAACTGGTCTGAAATGAGAATTGGATGCATTTCATTTAGAAAAGTAGTTGCAAGCGAAGATTTTTAAAAAATAAATAAAGCAACTTGTTCAGGTGTGGAACAACCAAAAAACAGGTGGAAGAATTAGTGATGAGATCTGTGTCAAATTCAGTGGGTTTAAAGAGATGAGAAGGAGGACCAAATCTGCTTCCCTGAAATTTCAATTATCATGTGCTACTGTATCATACACCAGTGAACTGCCTGTTTCAATGTCTGCTCTGTTATTTTGCAGCGCTTGAGTGTTCAGCATGTTATATATGTCCGTGGGTGCACGAATGCAGTGCTTATTTGGTTTTTGGACAACTACAGCATCATGGCCGGCGTGCTGTTCGCCATATTGCTGCCCCAGGTAAGAAGGGGCCAGTGCGTTATCCATTAAAGGGAGTACCTGATTTGTTGCTACAGTATGCAATATCCCATTTGACTGTATTTAATTATCATTTTTTACTTAAGTTTAACATAACTGATAAGCTGAGGTGGCATTCCAGTAATTTAGTAGCATTACTGTGATATATTGCAGGGTTCGGTTGGTTGATTTGGTTTCCTTGGGTTTTTTTGAGTCCTCTCCTCCCCCTAGCTGCGTCCACTAAGACTTTCTAATGCTCCAAGGCACAGAGGTGGTAATTAGCTGTATTAGCTCTTAATAAAAATGATCCGTTTATACCCCTATATGCAAAGAAGAATAACAATGTGAGATTCTCTCTGTGTATATACCACATACCTGCCCTTATATCTGATGTATGTATACCTGATTTGAAAAAACTGCTGCGAGAAGCGTTAGATAAGCAGTATTTGATCTCTGACTAGAGATGCCCCTTCTTTTCACAGTTCCTGGGAGTGTTGTTATCCTTGCTTTACATAACTCGGGTGGAAGATATCATCACCGAGCACAAGCTGAGCGAAAGACTGTTTGAAGAAGTGGGGCAGAGATCTGCCCCTGAGTTTGCTGGAGCCGGCTGCTGCATGTGTTACCCGGGGTGACTTTGGAAACCTCAAATATAGTTTAAAAAAAAAAAAAAAAAAAGGTCAAATCCACCTGTTCTGGTTTGTGCTGGCTTCTGCGGCTGTTAAAGACTGCGGGTGTAATGAATCAGCCAGCAGACCGGTGGCGGGTCGGCAGCGTGCCGATACCGCCCTGGCGTCGTCGCTCTTGGTGTGTCTGCAACCAGAGACGTACCAGAAGGTCTCCGTGCTGCTGACGATGCTGCTGCGGTATCGCAATGCTGCTGGAAGGTGGGCTTGTGGATGATTAAATCTTTTTTGAATGATTACTGTGTGATATGCAGCCGGGAAAACTATTCTGGGAAGATTTGAAGGTAGATTTCTAGGAAGAGCCTTTGCGTCTCGGTATGTCGTATTTAAATGTCCTTTCCAACTTTATTTTCTTACTCCTTCCAAAAAAGATTTCTTACTGATCTACATGGTGAATATTAAATATCGGTTTAATAAATTTTTTATGCTAATCTCAATCAATTTACTGACAATAATGGATGTGATGCTGAACACTTTCATTGCTCAGTCTTTTGTGCCTTTTAATAATAGGGCAGATGCCAATGTTGAATCAATCAGTTAATGCTTGATATATTTTTAATGCAATTTATTACTGTCTGGCTTTTGTATAAACTTACGGGATGTTTGAGTCTTGTATGTACTGTATTTTTCCCCTTTAGTAAATTATCTAGTTGATTTTTTTTTTTTTGAGTTCTGTATGTCGAGATGTTTGTAAATTTTTTTCTTCCTGTCAAAATAAAAAAACCCACTTTTTTTAAAAAAAAAAACAAAACCAAACACAAAGATTCTGTTTAAAATGCTTCTTATTTTCTTACCTAAGTTAAGCCTGTCCACCAGATGCTGAGTCAAAAGGCAGAAATATCTTGAGCTGTGATTCTGGCTTGGGCGCTGACTTGCCTCGGGTTTTGGACGGAGTCACTGAAGGTCTGTGCCTCCCTTGCTTCCCTTAGTGATTTCTTGGGAAGTCACCGGGAGTGCAGGGGGTTTTGCTCTTGCTTTGTCCTGAGCGTTTCTCTGCAGTCTTTCCAGCCCCAGCCAGGCTTGCAGGTGAAACACACCACTTAATTACTATGATGCTTCAATTAAACCAATTCAGGATGAGAATAAGGCGGGTTTGGTTTATAACCTGTCTTTGTGAATCTCTTCTTTTCTGATACTCTGCTGAGCCACACAGCAGAATATCTGATATCATTCTCTCCTTGCCGCTTTTCTTCTGTTTTTTTAATTTCCTTGTCCTGGATGTGTTTTCTGCTTTCTTCAAAACTCAGTGTTTGCTGCTTAGCTCTCCTCCTTCACCAAGGGTTTCTGAGGAAGCTTCATGCTTTTCCGGGAGCCAAAAAATGACTCATCCACTTCTTCAGTGTTTCTGACGGTGTCTAGAGATAGAGATCCCGCTGCGTTATCAACCCCATCATCCGCAGTGCGAGGTTTCCTACACAGCACACTCTAGCATTGGGTCCCGCACGTGATTACGTATTTAATTGCTCCATATCGTTGTCATCTGTGTTTTCCTGGTCTCTGTCCTGAATAATGTATTTCGGTAAGTTAAGAAGCGAGGTGTGTTTTAAGGGTGGATTTGTCTACAAAGAGAGGAAGGGGAAAAGGAGGGGGCAGCTTCAGAGGACCCAGCTGACTGCTGGTGAAAGAGAGGAAGACTGAAGCCAAAACTGGTTTATTGTGGAGAGCGGGCTGGGAACGTGGGAGCTGAAAGCATCAGGAGCTGAACTGTTGCCAGAGGTAGAGCTGTGCCCTGGCTTTTAGCAAGAGGGGAATAACACTTGAATTTGAGATGGCAGGAAGGCTGTGATGAATTGTGAAGGAGGGAATGACAAAAGTAATTTTTCTTTCTTTACTAACAGCATCTTGTAAATGTGGTGGTGGTTTAAAGTACAAGATATCTGGGAAAGCAGGAGATGATGGAAGCATGCTTAAAATTTGGGTGGTTTAAATGGAACAGGGAGAGTATTTGGGGATACCAGGGAGCAGTTCTACTTTAGCAAGGAAATTTGTGGGCTATACTGAATTTTCAACCACCCTCAGTGCTTTCGGTCATACACAGTGTTTGAGGGGGGGTTTACCTGACAATCACGAACTAAACGTGTGACTTAGTATTTGAATTAATTATTTATTAAACAGTTGTCCCTTCCCTTTCCCACAGATCTGAGGAAATTAACTCTTTACTGGAGATGGCTGGAGGGAGGGGTGATGCCGATCAGGAGGCGGCTGGAGGAGAGGGAGGCAGTGGGTCTCTGCTCAGCTGCCTCCAGGTGCCTGAGCTGTGGGAGATGATGGGGAGACCGCGATGGGGGTTTGAATTTACTCTTAAGCACAAGGCTTGGCTCTTCTCAGCGTGCCGTGCTCATGTCCTGTTAGTAGACAGATTTTAGAACGGGTTTGCAGTGTGCACAAGGTGTTTTGTGTGCTTACGAGTAGCTGGTTTTATGCTGAGCCTGCCGGGGCGTGCTCTGTCCTGCCTGGTTCGTCCACATGAGCAAGGTCTGGAGGAGATGTGATATGGCGGTAGTGAACCTGCGGCTCATCTTGGGCTGGTGCTCCACACACATCAGTGACCCATTATTTTTTTCTTTTAAAATAGGCACAGCCCTGTGTCCACAAGCAAATCAGCTGGAAGCATGTGAAGGGCCAGACTCAAAGTGTTGTCCTGGTCTGATTTTTGTGTTTGGCTGTAAGTGAAAACCACTGTGGCCACACTAGCGAAGATCATCTGGGCTTTTCCAGCCAGCTGATGTGAAAGTTGATTTTAAAACAGGTGGACCACTCCTTGCAGATGCATCCTTAAACTTGCTCTTAAAAATGGTCTTTGCCTGCTGTTTAAAAGACTGAGGCAACTCTGCAACATCCCAGAACTGTTATGGGATTTTTTTTGTGTGTGTATATTTTTAAAGTGCTCCGACAACTGTGAGCTTCCCTTGGTTCATCCTCCACGTGCTCCTGCTTTCCCTGTGTCCCCGAACGCCCTGCCCTCTGCAGATGTTGGGCAGCTGTTTGTGCATCCCTGCCTGCAAAAATCACCCCCGCTGGTCCTTGCTGCCTGACCCCTGTGTTGCCTCTCTCCTGCCTGCATCCCGGAGCTTTCCTGCTTGTTGTGGGACCGCTGTGCAGAGCAGCTGCCTGTTCAACAACCGGGAAACCGAAGGGTTGCAACAAGTCCTCAGTGCCGGCTGCCTGCCAAGCTACTGGGCAGCGATACCTAATTTAACCACTCTCCCTCCCCTGTGAGTTCAGGGAGCAGGGTCGCTGTGCCGCTTCCGTAATGTGGAGGGGTTTTGCACCGAGAATTATGCACCATTCAGCTAGAAATAGAGATTTACCTTTATATTTCAAATAACTACAGGCCATCCAGGCACAGTCTTGGCATGGCACTTGGGTGATGCACGCTGGTGAGCTGAGGGCCTGGCTGGAGCATCGTGCGCGGTATATGCTGTACGATGATGTTACGCGATAGAAATCTTTAATTAGCGCAGTTCCAGAGGAGAAATGCTGAGCAGCTCTCCCTCTGCTGGTGTGGGGATGCCATATCGCAAGGCGCTAATTAAATCTCTGCTCACCGTAAATTAAATCTCCGCTCGGTGTGTCCGTACAGCACCGGGGTTTCTCCAGTGGCCCTGTCCCCTGCCAGGCTTCAATAAGTCCCTTCGTGCAGGCACAGCTTCCATGGGCTTCATTCCCCCCAAAGCTGGAAATCCCTCGTTAGCCCTGAACCTCTGCGGCAATTAGCACTTGTTCATGAGGCAGAGCGGGGCACTTGGGATACAGCTGCTCCTTACAACCTGACTTGGAAAACCAGCCTCGGAGGTGGGATGAGCTGATTTCCTACTGATGGGAAAAAAAATCAGTGCTTAAGATCTAAAAACCATTTAGGTAAAAGTTGGTTTGCAGATTTGTATTCCTAAGGCCCTTTTCTTCACTAGGACTTTCCAGTGCTCATGAATTTTCTGTACAAGTTGATTATTAAAAGGTTCTTGCATGGGTTCAGGAATTGCTTTTTGGTAAGAAAAGATCTGGTGGGTGTTCAGCTGCAGAGTGCAGGTTCTCCTGCTGCCCAGGGTCCTCTGGGGTCCGCTGGGCCAGGGAGATCAGCTTGACCCCAAGCACATTGGTGGCACGTGAAGTTGCTTTGAGTTTGCATCCTCGTTTGATGTCGACGCCTTTCTGAGGAGAGGGAAGAGAGGGTGGCATCTTCATCTGTGGTGGCGAGAGCAATGCTGCTGTTTAACTTGTCAAAATTAGGTTCAGTCCATCGTGCTTCTTCAAGCTGATGCAGCCCCAGTCTGTTTTCGCACTCAGGATGGGAGTACTGCTTTCGTCTGCAGCTATAAGGGCTAAAATTTTGCCTCGCAGCAACAATAAGAGCCCTCGGCAAAGGCAGCTGTTAAATCTCCTTGGGAAAGTGGGTGTCCTGCCTGTTTCCAGCATGCTCCCTTGAAGGAGGTACTTTTTCTTCCATGGAAAGTTCTTTCCTTGATGAAGAGGTAGAGGTAGCTGAAAGCTGCTGTCCTGAAAAGGAAAGAAGAGACGATTTGCCTGGGACATGCACATCAGAGCAAAGCCGCCTCGTGCTTCTGGGTGTTGGGTACCAGTTTGTAGATTGACCCCCCGTCATGGTGCTCAGCCCTCCCAGGAGATTTCTTGTGGGTCAGCGCTACGGGTGGGGTGTTACTGCCTGCAGCAGGTTTTGGGGATGAGGAGGCTTTGCCTGGGGAAGCACAAGGAACTGCTGGCACCAGCTGAGCATTGCTTGCTGCAGCGCTCCTGGGATGCTTAGTGACCCCCCAGTGGGAACTGTGTGGGGCTGATCCCTCCGCTGGAGCAAAGCAGAGCAACACCCGTCTCCTTCCGCTTGAGGCTACAGCTTGCTAGGTTAAAGTAAGCATAACGATGCCCTGGGGGGTTTGTAGTGTGCTGGGACAAACCTGCTGGCTGAAGGGCAAGAGCTGGGTGGGAATGGG